TCTAAATAAAACTGTTAGATGAAGAAAATATGTAGGGTTTCAATGTGTTTCATTTTTAGGATGGAATTAAAAACGACTATGAAATGACTGCAAAGACATCTTTATTATAACGGCACTTGGAATTGGTGATTCAGGAATTATTCATCTTGAACATCTTATGGAGTTGTAAAAATTCTTTAATACTATTCCTGAAATTATACTAAGTAAAACACTGAAAAATTAGCAAACATACATAAAGTAGAGCACCTTGATTTAGGATGCCTATTTATTAGATAAATAGGCATGTTTTGGAGGTATGTGCACACAGTAGGTATGTTTTGGAGGACTCATATTCCTTTACCCTCTTCCTTACTGCATCTTGGTGAGGTCTCTGGAGCAAATCAACACAGGCTTAAAACTGAGTAATCCAGTCACAAAGAGAAAGGAAGAAAACACCCCCAATTTAAAGCACCAGATAGCTAGACCAGTGCTTCCTAAACTGCAGTGTGCACAAGAATCATCATCTTGCAGATTCTTACTCACTGCATTACTTCATCTCTTTTCTTGCCTTGTGCTTGCATCTCTACTATAGTGTAAGCACCTTCATCTCCTCCCTTTAGTTTACTGGTTCTCTGTGGTTTGCTACTAGAACTTGGGACCCATGGCATGGTTCAAATTTCTAAAATCAGTATTCACCTCCATTTTACATTTCTCTCCAGATAGAGCCCTTTAGCTCTGGTATATCTTCAAAGCTAGCCCTTCCATGCATATCCTCACCTGGCCCTCTCTGTGGTGGACAGTAAGGCAACAATACAAAGGTGGAAAGATCCTCACATTCAGTAGCAGAATATTGCATTCAAAATGTCATCTGTGGACCAGCAGCCTTGGCATGACCTGGAAACTTGATAAAATGTAGACTCTTCAGCACCACCTCACCCTGTTGAATTGGATTCTACCTTTCATAAAGATCTTTAGGTGATTTGAGTGCTCATTGAAGTTTGAAAATTGTGGGCCAGGCGTGGTGGCTCACACCTGTAATCCCAGCACTTTGGGAGGCCAAGGTGGGCAGATAGCAAGGTCAGGAGTTTGAGGTGGACCTGACCAACGTGGTGAAACCCTGTCTCTCCTAAAAATACAAAAATTAGTTGGGCATAGTGGTGCATGCCTGTAATCCCAGCTACTCAGGAGGCTGAGAAAGGAAAATTGCTTGAACCAGGGAGCAGAGGTTTCAGTGAGCTGAGATCGTGCCACTGGACTCAGCCTGGGAGACAAAGCAAGATTCTGTCTTAAAAAAAAAAAAGTTCAAGGCTGGGCACAGCGGCTCACACCTATAATCCCAGCACTTTGGGAGGCCGAGGCGGGTGGATCACGAGGTCAAGAGATCGAGACCATCCTGGTCAACATAGTGAAACCCCGTCTCTACTAAAAATACAAAAATTAGCTGAGCATGGTGGCTCACGCCTGTAGTCCCAGCTACTCAGGAGGCTGAGGCAGAAGAATTGCCTGAACCCAGGAGGCTGAGGCAGAAGAATTGCCTGAACCCAGGAGCCGGAGGTTGAGGTGAGCCAAGATCGCACCATTGCACTCCCACCTGGGTAACAAAGAGTGAAACTCCGTCTCAATAAAAAAAAAAAAAAAGTTCAAAAATCCCTTATTTAAGATGCTTTTAACACAAATAACTGAAAACCCAACTCAAACTGGCTTGCATAATACATAGAATAACTTTCAGGTGATCTAATCCAGAGGTCCTTAGGTTATCAGGGCTCTGGAACCAACTCTTTTTGCTTACCTGAGCTTTTTCCTGTAAGCCTACTCCCTCAACCTAACTTTATTTTATGTTAATAAAACAATACAAAATATAGAATGTGTTCTAATAAGTGTTCAAACAAAAACATATTATCATAGTGCTCTGGCCTGTGTCCTAAATTTTGAAATGATCACTCCTTAAAATGGAAACCCTTGGTTGCAGGTAAAAGTCTGACTCAGTGTCATTTAAACAATAGGAAATTCATCATCTCTAATATCAGAAAGGGCAGAGGATGGCTCCAAAAATAATATACCAAGGTTCCTCTTCTCTGCAGTCCTCTGGACTCTCCCTGACTCCAATGCCTCCATTTTAAGTGTGCTAGTTAGATGGCTAAAATTCCAGCAATCATATCGAGACCTCGAAATACCTAAAGACTCAAAGGGACCATCTTTTCCCATGTCTCTTGTTTTAAGAATAGAAAAATCTGTTGTAGCAGAGGTTTCCTTACAACTCAGTGGCCAGAATTGGGTATCACACTCTGACAGAGATCTCTAATTGCTTTTGAATATCCAATTGCCCCACCTTCTTTAGTAATACTCTCCTGGTTTTTATCTGGGCACATCACTGGCCAGGTATATTTCTCTGCCTCCCTTGAAAGCTGCATTTGGTCAGGTGACTAAATTCTGGTGAGTGAAACATATGTAGAAATGTGTAGAACTTTGGGAAGTATCCTTAAAAGAGGTAGCATTCTCTTTTTATTCCTCCTCTCCCATTCTGATTTCTGGAATGCAGACATGATGGCTTAAGCTTCTGCAATCCTCTTGGATCATGAGAACAAGGGTACACTCAAGATCAGGTGGAACAAAGAACTGGAAGGAGCCTGGGTCCCTGATAAATTCGGGAACCAGCCATAAGAGCCTTATTCTGCCTACCTCCAGATAGGTGACAGAATAAAATCTGTGTGTTTAATTTACTGTTAATCTGAGTTCTTATTAACTTCTGGTGAATCTAATCCTGACGGATACACGTGTCTTCATATAGCACCCTCATGATTTTGGCCACATCTTTCTATTATTATTATTTCTCATCTTCTCTGCATTGGCTTTTTCACTTAATTTGAAGTTTTTTTTTTTTTTTTTTTTTTTTTTTTGAGACAGAGTTTTGCTCTTGTTACCCAGGCTGGAGTGCAATGGCGTGATCTCGGCTCACCGCAACCTCGGCCTCCTGGGTTCAAGCAATTCTCCTCCCTCCGCCTCCCTAGTAGCTGGGAATACAGGCGTGCGCCACCATGCCCAGCTAATTTTTGTATTTTTAGTAGAGACGGGGTTTCACCATGTTGACCAGGATGGTCTCGATCTCTTGACCTCGTGATCCACCCGCCTCGGCCTCCCAAAGTGCTGGGATTACAGGCGTGAGCCACCGCGCCCAGCCTTGAAGATAATTTTTTATATCATCACTGCTTGACTATAAAATCAGTCCTGCCTGGCAAAAATAGAACTGCAAAAATAAAAACAATGGAAACTTACCGAATTTTAAAAATTGGCAAACAATGTTTCTGTATGACGAAGGCAACAAGCTTATTTGATATGAAATACTAGTTTCAGTAGCTCCTCGGGGGCTCCAGTGGCCTTCCTTTTATTCACTGACAGTATTAGCAGCTTCATTAGGCATTTATCCTAAATCTGCATGCACTTCCCAAGTGGAAGGACTTTCATCTGTATATGGTGGTGAGTAACGGAGTTCTACCTGAAGTCATCCACTACATCAGTTGGAGAAACATGTCTCTAGAGGGAAAAAAATCAATACTTTCTTTTACATTTAGTTGGAGTAGTTTTCAAACTTAGCCTAAAAATCACCCAAGGCATGGGGTAAAATGCATATTCCTGGGTCTTGCCCAGGTCTAGACTAGAGACCGAGGGTCTGGATTGTAAAAAGTGCCCCAGATGATGCCAATGCAAGTAGTTTTCAGACCTTAACTTCGAGAAACGTGAAAAAGCATTCTTTATTACTGTGTTCACTCATTCTTCAGTAATTGTCGAGCACCTTCCAGAGTGCTCTGTTAGCCCCTGGTGGGAGGCAAAGGACAGAGGGTTTGTGTGGAGACTCAAGATTCAGTTTTCATGTCCCAAGGCAGTAGTATCAAATGAGGTGCACTAGCAACGTTACTCTAGAAGTTTAGGGTTGGAGGGGTCCCTGTGGGCTGCAGCTGGGAGGAGAAGGCTCTGTGGAGCTAGGCTAGAAGGACCTGGAGGTTTTTCTAGAAGGAAGAGGCTGGAGTCAAGAGTGGCTTAAGCCAAGTCAACCTAGACTTGAACTTTTAAATGTAAAGGACTGAAGGCTCTGGTAAAGAGGAGACACGTTATTTCGGGGCAGTGAGCTGTTACTCTAGGTCTTCTGCATAGAGAGAGGAGGAAGCTCGGTTTGGGGGAGAGTAATAATCTGGCGTTGACGTTCAGGGTGAATTGGATCTGGCAGTTGCAAAGGCATGGCGACCAGTGTTACCAGTGGTGTGCACTTAAACGAAGAGAACGCTGAGGAGTGGCGAGATTATGAAAGTACTGAACCCATTTGTAGGGAGAAGGAAGGAGGTGAGAAGGCACCCAAGATGACAGGTGCCCCTGGAAGATGAGAGCACGTTTTAAAGACATCTCCGCAGAGGGAATCCTAGGTAATTCAGCTTCCTGGAACCAGTGCAGGGAATTAAAAGGCCAAGAAGCAGCTGTTTAAGGAAGCGGATTAACCCTTTTTAATGTTTCTCTTACAGTGGAATCACCGTATTCACTCGCTCCCAGCTGCAACTCATTACCTTATTAACACTAAAAGCACCAAAGCTGGGGCGAATAGGCCCAAGAGAAGGCCTACTTCTGTGGTGATCCCGAACATCTCCAGGAGACCAAGCTCTGTCAAGGAAAGTTGGTTTCCACACTTTGCTGCACAGTGGAGTCACTTGGGGAATCAAGAAAATAGGCCTGCCCTCCAGGTTTGGAAGCCACTGAGCTAGCAGCCTCGCCAGGGCCCTGCAGCGCCCACGTCCCTGCGCGCTCAGTCCTCAGCCCCGAGGGAGCACGCGGAGGCCTCCCGGCCTGGCGGCCTGGTCCTGACGTCCGGTCCTCCCCGCCCCACCCCAACCCACTGTGCCTGGCTCGGGCGCAGGTACCGGCTGAGGGCCGAGGGCCGCGGGCCGGGAGGAGGCGGTGCCGGGGCTGCTCAGGCCAGGGCGCCGCAGAACCGAAAGCAGCGGGGGGCGGGGGAGAGGAAGGAGGGGGCGGGCGCGGGGACGCGAGGGCGAGGCGGCCACGCGGGCCCGGGAATGCCCGCAGCGCGGGGCCCCAGAGCCACCCGGTGGCTGCGTCCGGGCGATGGCTCTCCGCCTGGTCGCCGACTTCGAGCTCGGGAAGGACGTGCTCCCGTGGCTGCGGGCGCAGAGGGAGGCGTCCGAGGCCCGCGGGGCCGGAAGCGGCGGTGCAGGTGCCCGAGGCTCGCGTTGGGGCGGGGTTGGGGCGGGGAGTGGGAGTCCCTCATACCCCCGGGGGCTCGGACCCCGAAGGGAGCAGCCTGGGTCCCGCAGCTCTGGGAAGGCTGGTGCGAGAGCGCCGCTCGCCTCCTCAAAGGGCTGTTTTGACTTTGCCATCCTCACCCAGCCGCGGGGGAAGCCTGAGGCGCCTGGCTTGCTGCGGGCCGGCGGGAATTAGCCCTTGGTAGAAAGGCCGGGACGCTGTTGGTTCCCTCAGCATCACCTCATGGCGAGGGTAGAAGGTCGTGCTCTTGTCAGCGGTTGCCTCCCGCCTCCTGGAGGGTTCATCGGCCCTGCAGGGCTCTGCTAAGACGGGCGGGGGTGGGGTGGACTCCTGGAAGATTCGCGTTTTGGGGAAGAATCTGTAGCCATCAAGCGAATCACCTGTACCTATCAGTGAAGCAGTCTGCCCCCACATGTGCGAGACATGTTTCTGCAAACCGTGTCCATGGCTCAGGGGACACGGAGCCCGGCGGTGAGGTGCGAAAGGGCAGGGGCCGCGTGCAGGCTGAGCGCGGGGGAGCGAGAGCCCCCAGCCGCTCGGAGCTCCGCACCTGTGCCGGCTGCGGCTGCGCGCTTGCGGCTAGGCTCCCGGCCCCGCCGACTCGGGGAGAAGGGGAATCCACTGCCCGCAGTGGTGGCTTTCTGATGGTTCGGTGAGGAAACGAAAGTAACTTTTGAGCCTTCCCAGCACTGATCTACTTTAAAGAAGGGAACTTTGTGATTTCTCACTGAGTTAAGTTTTCTGTAAATGTTGGCGCCTCAGAGCTTAAATGCAGCTTCAAAGCAATGATGCCTGTGGGTCTCACCTTGTGCGTACAGCGCTGCCCATTTCAGTGAGTTTCCTCCCTTTTCCCCTTTCGTTTTCCTTTAACTGTTGACTTTGGAGGACGTTTATCCGAAGTGGTTATTAAATTACCTACATCTACAACTCCTTTCCCCTAAATGCTGGTGAAAGTTTTCTTGATGTAAGTTACATATCAAGTTGCTGTCTTGTATCTTCACATTCTCCTGTGACTATAGCGGAATTATTTGAGGTTTCCTTGGCTTGGAATGTTAATCATTAGTTCCAAAAAGGAGTTGTATGTTTGTGTAGCATATTCATTGAGTTTGCATTCGTGTCATGATTAGTAAGGCTTTTACTTTTTTTTGAGGTGGCGGATGGTGGTCAAGGAAGAATTTTATACAGAAATTAGCTGGGCGCGGTGGCACACGCCTGTCTGTAATGCTACCTACTCGGGAGGCTGAGGCAGGAGAATCGTTTCAACTTGGGAGGTGGAGGCTGCAGTGAGCCGACATTGCGACACTGCTCTCCAGCCTGGGAAGCAGAGTGAGACTCTAACAACAAGAACAAAAAAGTCGCTCAAATGTCTGAAAAGTTTTTACAGGCTTAACTTTTTGAAACAGCTCTGCCTTGTACCACAAAGTACTCCTTTTTCTGAACTCCCACTTTATTTTGCTAAATGGCAGGTGTCTGCAAATGAGAAGTTAGATGAAGTGTGAAATGCCACAGTCTTATGTTTCAGTAATGTGTGTTGCGCTTGCAAAGCTGTCTGTGTCCCACTTGGACCTGGTTTCTTTGTATCTTTCGATCATCTCTGAAGAAATATAAATTTGTGTACTGACAAAATGTAATTTTGTTCCCCTAAATAACAGGTAGCCCTGGGTTCTCAGGAGGTAAACTTTCTGGAAATACTAACTTTTCTGTTGCTGGTAGTATTTTGCTCTTTCAGAGAAAATATCTTGGCAAGATATTAGCCCTGTTACACTAAGAGAATTATTACCTCTGATTATCACCAGTGGGTGGTAGCTCAAAAATACCCCCACACAAATTAATTCCTGTTCTACTGTAATTTATAGCAGTGGCAGGGAAATCTGCAATTCTGTCTCATTTCTAACACAGCAGTTATACACATTTGTGCAATTGATTACCCTTTCAAAGTTCTAGCTCTTCAAATGTAAATTATGAATAATTATACCATTGTAATGCCGCCTCTATGCATACTTGCTTTCTAAATTTGAAGCCTTAATATTTTTACATCAACAAATACAATTGAAGTTTTCTTAGAGGTGCTAAGTCTCATGAAATATGTATGACACATTCTTGGCAAAACAGAGCTGGGCTAAGTCAGCTGTGGAAATTCTGTGCCTACAATATAACATTTTGGTTAACAAGGGGTCAAGGAGGAAGGAGAACAGATTTGGCTACTGCATTTGCTTCTGGTTGGGGTTGAACAAATGGTTTCTCCTGAAATAAAAGACAATACTTGTTAAAAATCAGAACAACTACATAAAAGAATATTTTAACCTATAGCTGTAAATAATAAAGCACAACCACTTACCCACTCCCCAGCTTAGAAATAGAGCAATGTCAAGACTCTTGAAGACTCTTATGTACCCTTTTCTGATTCTATTTTTCTCTCATCCTCACCTCCTAGGTTAGCAACCATTTACATTTTTATATTAAAATTACTGTGTCTTTATTTGTAGTTTTAACCCATATATATATCTCCCTAGGCAAAATATTTTGCTTGGCTGTGAACTTTAAGTAAATGAAAGCATGCTGTATGTATTCTTTTTTATTATTTTTTTCCTCAGTATTGTGAGATTTATCCATGTTGACTGGCTAGCTACAGGTCATTAATTTTCACTGCTGTATAGTGTTCCATCATGCGAATTCAACAAGATGGTGGACATGGAGATGCACTGCTTAGATTATTCTTTCAAAGAAGAGCTTGTCCCAGGTGCTATAGTATACTCGGGAGGCAGTCTTCAGCCGTCAGCCCCTTCAGGGATTGCCTGGCAGAGGGCTGCCCTACCCTACTTCACTTCCTTTTGGGTGTGGCCCACATGGGATGGAGGGGCTTTAAAGGCCTGGCCATTTTGACTTAACATGGGACAACTCCATTTCAGTTCTGAAGCTTCCTCTGTGGGGGACCTAAGGTCACCCAAGGATATTCGGCCTGCATTGCTGCTGGACTTCTCACCCTACCACGGCTTACTTCCTTTTCCTTCCTCTTTTTTTTTGGGGGGGGTATGCACGGAGTCTCACTCTGTTGCCCAGGCTGGAGTGCAGTGGTGCAATCTCGGCCCACTGCAACTTCTGCCTCGCAGGTTCAAATGATTCTTCTGCCTTAGACTCCTGAGTAGCTGGGACTATAGGCGTATGGCATCACACCCAGCTAATTTTTTATTTTTAGTAGAGACAGGGTTTCACCATGTTGGCCAGGCTGATCTCAAACTCTTGACCTCAGGTGATCCACTGATCTTGGCCTCCCAAAGTGCTGGGATTACAGGTGTGAGCCACAGAGCCCTGCCCTTTCTCCTTCCTTTTACAGGTGTTAATCCCACTTTCCTGAGCACTCCCTGATGAACATACTGGGTACTAAACTCTGTCTCAGAGTGCTTCCTAAGGAACCCAACGTCTTTTTCCAGTGGGTGACTTTTGGGGGGTTTCTGGGGTTTACTACATGGTCAATACTCTAACCACCTGGTGCACACAGGCATAAGTTTCTCTAGAATATATGTCTAAAAGTGGAGTTGCTGAGTCGTAGGCTGTACATATCTTCATCTTTCCTGGGCAGTGCCAAATTGTTTTCCAAAGTGGTGTTCTTATCAACACCCCTATTTGTGGTGTGGAAACATTTCTGATACTATCCTCACAAGCCCTTGACAGTTCAAGATTTAAATTTTTTTTTTGTCAAACTGGTAGGACTAATTATTTCATTGTGCTCTGAGGTTGAGCATCTCTGTGTATTTACTGACCATTTGAATTTCCCTGTCTGTGAAATGTCTATTCATCCTTTTGTCCACTTTCCTATTTTTTTAATTGGTTTTTTTTAGGGGTTATGTTTTTGGGATCCTTGTTCTTTATTATGTGTTGCAAATATTTTTCTCTCAACCTGTCACTTCTGTTTCACTTTGTGATGGTGCCTTAGATAAACAGGAGTTCTTAATTTTAATGTAGTCTAAATTACAGGTTTTTCTTTATAGTTTGTGTCCTTTTAGATATCTTAAATCCTATTTTGAAGTCATGAAGACATTTTTAATATTTACTTTTAGAAGCTTTGTGGTTTTCTTTTTCACATTTTTATTTTAATCCACCTAGAATTAATTTTTATGTGATATACAGGAGTCCAAATTTTTTGAAAAAATTAATAGCTAGTTGTTTCAATATTATTAACCAAATAATATTGGTTATTTTAGTCATTTTACTTCCTACAACAAAGCTAGTTCTTTCATATCAAGCTTCTTTATGTAGGTCTCCTTTTCTGAGTTCATTTTGTTCCACTATCTCACCTTGACATGACAATAATATCTTAATAACTATACTTTATAAGTATTGATAACTGGTAGGTAAGTCCCCTTACTTAGTATTCTTCATGAGTGTCTTAGCTATTGTATGCCCTTTGCTTTTTCATATATATTTTTCAATCCGCCTGTCAAATTTCACCAAAAAGTTGATTTGGATTTCCTATAGTTGCATTGCCTCTGTAGATCAGCTTGGGGACAATAAGTATCTTTACAATACTATATCTTCCCAGCTATGAACAAGGTATAGCTTGTTATTTATTTAGATCCTTTTTAATGACTCTCAATAAGTCTTAGAATTTTCTCCATGAAGGTTCTGCACATGTTTTGCTTGATTTCATCCTAGGCTATTTTTTGTTGATCTCATAACTAGCACACTTAAAAACATGACATATTCTATCTATTGGTGGAATAGAGCACTGTAACAGTTTTTTTTCCCTCCTCTTGAGATGGAGTCTTGCTCTGTCGCCCAGGCTGAAGTGCAATGGCGCAATCTTGGCTCACTGTGACCTCCGCCTCCTAGGTTCAAGCAATTCTCTTGCCTCAGCCCCCTGAATAGCTGGGATTACAGGTACACGCCACAATGCCTGGCTAATTTTTTTTGTGTTTTTAGCAGAAACGGGGTTTCACCATGTTGGCCAGG